TTCCTTCCTTCCTTCCTTCCTTCCTTCCTTCCTTCCTTCCTTCCTTCTCTCCCAGTGGTTAGAATGCCACATTGCAGGTTAACTCTGCCCAGTGCCAGCAGTTCGATCCTGACCAGCTCAAAAGGTTTACTCAGCCTTCCGTCCTTCTGAGGTTGGTAAAATGAGAACCCAGATTGTTGGGTGCAACAGGCTGACTCTGTAAACCACTTAGAGAGGCTGTAAAGCATTGTAAAGCGGTATATAAGTCTAAATGCTATTGCTATCATTCTGATCACAGTGATGGGTTCTGCAGGGGCTCCCAGCAATGCGCCCTTAAATTCAATGTATAAGAAGATCCTGGATTATGTCAGCCATGCTGCGGCTTTGCATCGCCATTAAAGAAATGACTTGAGGCTAAACCCCTCTTTACATTGATCTGACTCCGACACAGTGAACTTCCAGCATACGCAAAATGATTTTTGTGCTTCTCCTTTCCCTGTTTGCCATTTTGCACATCCATTCATTTTGACAGAAAGCACATAAAACATGCAGACGCTTGCTGCTTAATTTTGTTTTAAACCCAAAGAATCCTCCAGGGCGGGAGGCCTCATAAATCAGCAGAGATTTATTTACTGAAAGCAGAGAAGGGCTGTCTGGTCCCTTCTGCTGTCTGTTTTTTTAAAAAATCCTTTTAATTCTCTTTCCAAGTTGAAATAATAATAATAATAAAAAAGTGGACCCTAATTTTCTCTTGCAAAAGAGCCAGACTGGGGCAAATTGGAGTAGTTAAATCAGGGGTGTCAAACTCGATTTTATTGAGGGCCGCATCAGGGTTGTGTTTGACCTCAGAGGCCATGGTGGCCATGGTGGGCACATGGTCAGCTTGATGTCACTCATGTTGGGGGCGCCTGTGGAGGCCCAAGTGCTCTGGCTAGTGAAAACGGGCTCTTGTGTCAACTCGTAAAGCATGCCTGTTTTCGAGTTGCCATAAGCAAAGGGAGTGGGGGGAAACCAGAAGTACATTCCATGCTTATCTTACAAAGATTGTAGCTAGGCTACTGGATCTTCTGCCGGTGAAAATCCTTCATTGGAGAGTGTGATTGATGACAGCCAGTGAACATGTTTCGTTGGAGGATCTGATGCATGACACACCCAGAGGGGAAGGGGGGAAACAGGTGACTGTGAATTACGTGTGTCAGAGTTGGCTTCAACTGGGATAATGCTGACATGTTGTTCCTAATAAATCTTTTGGATTCTTTTGAAGCTTGGCTCGAGGCTCATGATTTAATTAGGGCAATCGCCAGAATCCTGTCAGCAAGCCAACTCTGACACACGTAATTTTTGGCTGTGACTGTTCTGACCAAGGCTTTCCAAGATCATGAAGCAGACTTCTCGTCCCGATAAAACCTCTTTTATTTAGGCTAGAGGGAATTCCTCTCCAGCAAAGTCCTGGCCAACTGTCTTTCATGAGATTTCACAACTACAGATCTTTATTAGGCTGGGAGAGTTGCCAGGCCGATATCTTCCAAATGCCACTCTGTAGCAGACAATACTTGGCAAGAAGTCAGGAACAGATCTTCACCCTAATGAATTGAACTAATTGTCTCCTGCAATCACCACTCACCTTTCGCTCCTCTTTATTCCTGATGGGAGGGGCCATTCACCGTCCACCTGTGCCTTTACTCCCAAATTGACCCTTGTTCCTTAACTGTTCCCTTCTCCTAGCAGCTCTGTGCATGCGCACACTGGGAACAGGCTCCAACAGCTCTTCTGTCTCACTGATCTCCGACTCCGAAGGCAGCTGATAACTGTCAGACGGCCCTGGCCCCATCTCTGCCTCTGACACAAAGCACTCGTCAGAGCCTTCCCCAGACTCCGAGGCTGGCCCATGTTCCTCCCCAACCTCCTCACTGTCCGAGTCTGCCACCAGCTCCGCTGGCCTCTGGTGGGCCACAACAGCAATGGCCTCCTGCAGCTCTCTGTCAGTGAAAACAGAGTTCCATTTTTGCTGGCAGAGGCACCGCAGGCCACTCCTTCACTGTTTCCATGGGCCACATCCAAGTAGCCCATGGGCTGGGTCCAGCCCCCAGGCCTTGAGGTTGACACCCCTGAGTTAAATGGATGGAAAAGGAAGAAAAGGGACCAAACCTGGACTTCCTGAACTATGGTAGAGCAGTTGTATATCATATACACCCAGCTCATGAAGAAAGAAAAGACTGAATTCCCATGATTGGTCATGAGTGCACATGTGTTTCTGTGCATAGAAACCTCTGTCTTTAGGATCACCCCAATGGAGCTCTGCAAAGAAGTATTTGCACAGAAGCCTCCCTGCAAATTAATAAAGGTGTTTTCTAGGGTACCCTGTAAAACAGAAGTTCAGACTGAAAATTTTCCCGTCCTCCAGGACAAGAGTTGGGCTAGTTTGATTGAAAGTGACTGCAATAGAGAGAGGCAAAAATGCAAAGCAATTTTTGCTTTTTCAGACAATAATTTGGAAAAAGAAAAAAAAGATCGCCAAGCAAAATGTATAGCATCTATCTATCTCCTATCTATCTATCCATCCATCTATCATCTGTTACTTTAGTCTATGTCTTTCTCTCTGTCTGATTTGTATCTGTCTGTCTATCTATCTATCTATCTATCTATCTATCTATCTATCTATCTATCTATCTATCTATCTATCTATCATCTATCTATCTACTCTCTTTCTATCATCTCTCTATCTCTCTATCATCTATCTGTCTATCTCTCTATCATCTATCTGTCTATCTATCTATCTATCATCTATCTATCTATCTATCTATCTATCTATCTATCTATCTATCTATCATCTATCTATCTTTCTATCATCTATCTATCACCTCTCTATCTCTCTATCATCTATCTATCTATCTATCTATCTATCTATCTATCTATCTATCTATCTATCTATGTATCATCTATCTATCCATCCTCATCCATCATTCTCTCTCTCTCTGTATGTGTGTGTGTGTATATATACACATCATATACACATATATAAATATCTTTCTGTCTCTGTCACTGTCTGTCTCTATCTCATATCTATCTATCTATCTATCTATCTATCTATCTATCTATCTATCTATCTATCTATCTATCATCTATCTTTCTATCATCTATCTATCATCTATCTATCACCTCTCTCTCTCTATCATCTCTATCATCTATCTATCTATCTATCTATCTATCTATCTATCTATCTATCTATCTATCTATCATCTTTCTATCACCTATCTCTCTATCTCTCTATCTCTCTATCTCTCTATCTCTCTATCTCTCTATCTCTCTATCTATCTATCTATCTGTCTATCTATCTATCTATCTATCATCTATCTATCCATCCTCATCCATCATTCTCTCTCTCTCTGTATGTGTGTGTGTATATATACACATCATATACAATATATAAATCTCTCTCTTTCTGTCTCTGTCACTGTCTGTCTCTATCTCATATCTGTCTGTCTGTCTGTCTGTCTGTCTGTCTGTCTGTCTGTCTATCTATCTATCTATCTATCTATCTATCTATCTATCTATCTATCTATCTATCTATCTATCTATCTATAATCTGTTACCTTAGTCTATCTCTCTAACATCTGTCTGATCTATATCTATCTATCAATCATTCTCTCTCTCTCTCTCTCCCCATTTCATTCAACAGGGAGACAGTAGCTACTCAAAAGTGAGAGGATGGCTAGTTAGCTAATATTGTGCACCCCTTGGCCAGCCGACTTGAAACAGAGTTCTTCTCAATTCCTAGATAAGTAGGGCAAATATTGCTAGTTTTAATACGAAAACAATAACCTAGAAAGCTGGACATATTAGGAGAGCACTGAAATACAGTGGGCACAATCCAGAGAAAGTTAACTATGAAATCAATGGGGCTTAAGTGCTTATCTCTGAACTTAATTCTCATTGATTTCAACTGAACATAAGCTCACTTAGCTTTCTCTTGATTGTATCCAGTGACGTCTTCCAGCCTGGATCTTCTGGGTATGTAAGGCTGAGAATGACTCTGGGTCCCACTAAATTCTCAAAACATCAATCTTGCATCAAGGGAACTGCAAACAAACAAACAAAACCCACGGGAAGTTTCTACAAGGAAATCCAAGCACACCTTCATGTATGAATGTCAACAGGTTGTACAAAATAGATTCTCAAAAGGGATTTTTAAGTTTTATCCAGGGGTGGGCTGCTACTGGTTCGCACCGGTTTGGATGAACCGGCTGCTATTTTGACATCTGGTTCACTGAACCGGTAGTAGCTCCAATGACTGGCTGGCTTCGCCCACCCCTGCCCTCCTCTTCCAGGAGTCCCCACATGGCCTGTTTTGGATCCCAGGTAAGTGCAGGGCGCATGCGGAGGCTCAGGGAGGGCAAAAAATGGTCCTCCTGGAGGCCCTGTAAGGCCCGTTTCTGGCCTTCAGAGAGCGTCCAGAGCCCATGGAGGGTGAAAAACGGGCCTCCTGGAAGTTCCAGCCAGAAATGGCCCCATTTCGGGCCTCCAGAGTCCAGGGAGGGGAAAACGGGCCTCCTGGCGGGGTGGTCAAAGAAAGCCTCTGGAGCTTGGGGAGGGTGAAAAACAGGCCTCCTGGAAGTTCCAGCCAGAAATGGGCCCGTTTCCGGCCTCCAGAGGGCCTCCAGAGCCCAGGGAGGGGGGAAATGGGCCTTCTAAAGGGTCGAAGAAAACTTCCGGACCCCGGGGAGGGCAAAAACGTCACCCCCCTGCCGTGGTGCAGGAGGCCAACTAGGCCACACTCACCTGGCCATGTCCACTCAGCAACCTGGCAGAGAACGTATTGCTAATGTTTTTGAAGCCCACCCCTGGCTTCATCTCCTGCATGCCAAAGAGACTGGACAGCCGTATGCCCAAAATGCTATAGGAGTGCAGGGAGTTGGTCTAGAAGACCTCCAAGGTCCCTTCTAACCCTATTATCCTACGTTCTATGCCATTTTAGAAGACAAGGAAGACGTGTCTCTAATTTCTCTTCATCCTCTTCCAAGGGGAGCCATTCATTGCTGCAATTTAATGCTATATGTGAACTGTCAGGCAGGTTATCCCTTTAGCCCAGAGGGTGAATGGTTCCCAGAGTCTCTCCCCATGATGCATTAATGACTCTTCCCCCATTAGAAAAATGTCTGTCATAAGTGGCATGTATGTGCACAGATTGTTTAAAAAAAAAGGTAATTCAACAAGAGTAATTTTACAGGACTTTCTTTCCCCCCCAAAAACAGCAATATAAACATGGGATATTAAGGACGCGCTCGTGGATTTTATGCTGCCTACATTTTTTTTTTTTGCATTTTGGAATCTGATGAAAAACTAAAGTAAACTTTATACCCGTGATGGTGAATCTATGGCACGCATGCCACAGGTGGCACATGGAGCCATTTGTGTGAGCCCCAGCCAAGCTTACCTGCACTGCGCATGCGTGCGCCTCCCAGCTGATTTTCAGCCCGTTTGAGGCCTTTTTCAGTCTCCCTGAGGCTCGAGGGAAGCCTCTGCAGCCTTTGGAGGCCAAAAAACAGGCCTTCTGGAAATACCGGAAGTGCCGAAACAGGCCTGTTTTTCGGCCTCCAAAGGCTGCAGAGGCTTCCCTTGAGCCCCCAGGAGGGCAAAAATGGCCTCCTCTGGGCTCCAGCGGCCCTCTGGAGGCTGAAAATGGGCATTTCTGGTATTTCCAGAATTTCTGGTATTTTTAGCCTCCCGAGGCTACAGAGGCTTCCCTCAAGCCTCAGGGAGGCTGAAAAAGGCCTCAAACAGGCCGAAAATCAACTGGGAGGCCCATGCCTGTGCAATTCAGGTAAGGGAGCAAGGAGGGATGTGTGATGAACGCATGCGTGGGGGGGGGTGCATTGTATTGTGGGTGCTGGCATGCACGCGCTTTCGGCACACCACACCAAAAAGGTTCACCATCACTGCTTTATACTCTGCTGGATAGATGGGATTCTTAATATTTAATCCATTCTCTAGAGATGCAGAACATGAACCAAATGAGAATATAAGCACATGGATTGGGAACTCTTTTAAAACTTATGTGTTTGTCACGACCAAATTCGAAACAGACAATACAGGGACATTGTCCCCAAAGGTGCTTTTTTTTTTTCAAAAGGCAACTGGCCTTTGTTTTTTTCTTGAAGAGGTTTCGCTTCTCATCCAAGAAGCTTTTTCAGTTCTGACAAAGTGATTGTCCAGTCTCTTCTTAACCCCCACCCCCAGTGATGAAACACCCATAATTGCCTTCTGGTGCTTTGGAAAATAAGTTGACCCCCCCTTCTCTTTGTGACAATCTCTCAAATACAGAGTGGCTTTGTTTTTCCTTGAAGAGGTTTTGCTGCTCAACCAAGGAACTTCTTCAGCTTCTACTGACAGAACTGAAGAAGCTTCTTAGATGAGAAGCGAAGCACCTTGGCTAGTCTAGTGGGTAGTCCAGTGAAGAGAAGGACCAGGGGAGGCAGGATAGCAGTGTTCCAATATTTGAGGGGCTGCCACAGAGAGGAGGAGGGGATCAAGCTATTTTCCAAGACGCCTAAAAGTCAGACAAGGAACAATGGATGGAAACTGAACAAGGAGAGATTCAGCCTGGAAGTTAAGGAGAAACTTTCTGGCAGTGAGAACAATGAACCCATGGAACAGAAGTTGCCTTCAGAAGTTGTGGGAGCTTCATCACTGGAGGCTTTCAAGAAGAGATTGGACTCCCATCTGTCAGAAATGGTGTAGGGTCTCCTGCTTGGGCGGGGTGGTGGTAGACTAGATGGCCTATAAGGTCCCTTCCAACACTGATTATCTGTTATCTATTTACCTTAATGAAAAATCAGAAAGTACACTTGAATTTTGAAAATAAAAAACACCTTTGGGACAACCATGATCTGGATGACAGAGAATCTCTGTAGACTTAACAAGGTGAAATAATCAGTCTTATTGATTCCAAGGACATCACGAGAGAGATTCAAAGCTGAACTCTACGAATAAAGTCTTCAATTATTGTTGCTAACAAAATAGCTTGTTCAGGTATCAATGGAGATTTTCAATCAATCATGGTTGTCCCAAAGGTGCTTTTTCAAGAAGCAACTGGACTTTCTGATTTTTCTTTTGAACACGTTTCACTTTTCATCCCAGAAGCTTCTTCAGCTCTGGCAGGATGGTGAGGAATGGAAGGATTTATGTTCCTTGCAGAAAGCTGGTCATTTGCATCCTTTTAGAGAGTCATTGAGGCCACTTGGAGGTTTATCTGTGTCCTCAGTCAATACTCAGGTAACCCTGAGGACACAGACAAACCTCAGGTACAACTCAGGTAACCCTGAGGACACAGACAAATCTCCAGATGGCCTCAACGACCCTCTAAATGGATGCAAATGACCAGCTGTCTGCAAGGAATCTAAATCCTTCCATTCCCCACCATCCAGTCCGAGCTGAAGAAGCTTCTTGGATGAAAAGCGAAACGCCTTCAAAGGAAAAACCAGGAAGTCCAGTTGCCTCTTGAAAAAAAAGCACCTTTGGGATAGCTTGTTCAGAGTTTTTAACACAGGGCTCACAGATGCAAGATTCAACACAAGATTTAACTTACCCATTGTCGGCCCAGATTCGGGCCTGTTTAAGGAGCTAATGATAACAAATCCAAACCCTTCGTTTTCTTTCCGATGGATGATGACGTCGCTGGTTTGCATGCTGTGCGAAGGGAAGCTCTCAGGGGGCGTTGCATTGTTGCTGGAGGTGACGTGATTGCTGTTGGCATATGTAGCGTAGTCGCTTCTGGGAGAACTGTGGTGGGTGGACACAGAGCCGGGACTTCTGCCATTCTCTGGACAGGGTTCTCCTGAAGGAAAGAAGAAGAAGAAAGAAAGAAAGACATTGATCAGAATCAGAGAGATTTTCTGCATTCTGTGGTGGTGCAGTGGTTAGAATGCAGTATTGCAGGCTGACTCTGCCAATTGCCAGGAATTCGATCCTGACCAGCTCAAAGTTGACTCAGCCTTCCGTCCCTTTGGGGTGGGTAAAATGAGGACCCAGTTTGTTGGGGGCAATAGGCTGACTCTGTAAACCGCTTATAATGGTTGGAGTCATGTTCCGGAGTCATGTTTTCACTTTTTGTGACCTATTTATGAGCAAAGTCAATGAGGAAGCCAGATGACTTAACAACCGTGTGACTAACTTAACAACTGATGAGATTCACTTAACCATGGTGGTAAAAAAAGGTCACAAAATGGGGGCAAAACTCAATTGTCTCACTTAGTGACATACATTTTGGGCTCGGTGGTGGTTGTAAGCCGAGGACTACTTGTAGTCAAGAAATACTGACATTTCAAGGAAGAAAGGAATCAACCTGCTGCTTTTTGGAGAGCGCTTGACTGATCTTTTGAATTCTTCTTTTCCCAACAAATAGATTTTTTCAGATTGGACAGAAATCCTACAGCAATATAAAACCTGTTTATAATTTTTCCCATCGTTAATGGGAAACCGTTTTGTTGATTTATGGCAGAGACTGCTGTCAGTAATTTGGTGGGGTGAGGTTACTTACTTCCTGTCGCACCCAGATATATAATGTACATGCATACATGTCCAAAGAGCTGCCGGTCCAGGTCTACAGAGGAATTATGGAGTCTATCATCTGCACCTCTACCACTGTCTGGTTTGATTCTGCAACCCATCAAGACAGACACAGACTCCAGAGAGTAATTAGGACTGCAGAAAAAACAATACCTACCAACCTGACTTCCATGAAGGACCTGTATACTACAAGAGTCCAAAAGAGGGCTATTTACACACACCTCACATCCTGGACATAAACTGTTTCAACTCCTTCCCTCAAAACGATACTATAGAGCCCTGCACACCAGAACAACTAGACACAAGGACAGTTTTTCCCCCAAATGCCATCACTCTGCTAAACAACCAATTCCCATAACACTGTCAAACTATTTAGTAAGACTGTATTACTATTCTTCTTCTCATCCTTCCTATTACCTATCTCTTCCCACTTATGACTATAACCATGTTGCTTGTATCTTTACAATTTATATTGTTTTATTGTTCCCTAGTATGATTTGATTGCTTATTAGTAACTTATCACTACCACTGTATTGTATCTTATGATTCTTGATGAATGCATTTTATTTTTTCTTTATGTACACTGAGAGCTTATGCACCAAAAACAAATTCCTTGTGTGTCCAATCACACTTGGCCAATAAAGAATTCTATTCTATTCTCCATTTCCATTCCATTCCATTCCATTCCATTCCATTCCATTCCATTCCATTCCATTCTATTCTATTCTATTCTATTATCCTATCCTACCCTACCCTACCCTACCCTACCCTACCCTACCCTACCCTACCCTACCCTATCCTATCCTATCCTATCCTATCCTATCCTATTCTATTCATGCCATTTGGCCTTCCGAATCATGACAGCCAGAAATTAAGATTTTTCTCATCGCTGACTGTAGTGCTTAGTTTCAACTCGGGTTCAATAACTTTTATTTTCTGTTCCAAATGTCATGGCTTAATCATTGTTCAGTGGGATTTCTTTCTTTCCGTCATGCATTAATCCCTTCCTATCGAAGGACTGCCAGAAGAGACACTCCCAGGAGTAAATAATTGCCTTGCGGAAAGACTTTTCAACTGGAAGGTTTTTGCTTCTTGTGGAAAAGTAATAATCCATGCTGCGTTTGATTTTATCAGAATTGAAAGATCAAAGACGATCCCATTATTTATTTGACAGCAAGCAGATGGCACCCGGTTAAGAGCCAACCTGTCACTCAAACGATTGCATATTGTCGTAGAAATCAATACTGTTGCATTTGTTGTCATGTGTTTTGGGCAAGGCATTTGTTGTATTAACCATTCAGTCATATCCGCAGTAATTGAGACCAGTGAAAAGCAAGGTTTTACACCTAGGTAGGAAAAACCCAAGGTACAAGTACAGATTAGGCGAAACCTGGCTCAAAAACAGGAACTGTGAGAGGGACCTTGACATCCTAGTGGAATGTGAGGCAGCAGCCAAAACAGCTAATACAATCCTTGGTTGTATAAACAGAGGCATACAATCAAAATCATGTGACAATATTAGTACCACTTTATAAATCCTTAGTAAGGCCATACCTGAAATCCTGCATCCAGTTTTGGTCACCACATTACAAAAAAAGACATTGAGACTTTTGGGGAAAAGTACAAAGAACAGCAACTAAGAGAATTAAAGGCCTGGAGATTAAAAGATATGAAGAACAGTTGCAGGATTTCAGTATGTGAATCTTTATACCATCATGGCCAAATGGTTGTCCAATCTTTTCTTGAAAACCTCCAGTGACGAAGCCCCCATAACTCTGAGGGGCAAGCTGTCCCACCGATTAATTATTCTCACTGTCCAAAAATTTCTCCTTATTTCGAAGTTGGATCTCTCTCAGAGGAGTTTCCATCTAATGCAAAGGTGTCAAAGTCAAGGCCTGCGGACCGGATCCCGCCTGTGGGGTGCTTAGATCTGGCCAGCCTGGAAACAGCAAAGGACTGGCTCGCGGTGCCTCTGCCGGAGAAAAACAGAGCTTGAGGGGGGGGGGGGGGGGGCTCCATTTTCGCTGGCAGAGGGCTATCAACACAAACTAAAAACAAAACAAAATGAGAAATGTTTCCCCTTTTTTCATTTCAGCATGCAAGAAGGGGCAGGAAAGGAGAAAGGGAAAGAGGAAAGAGAAAGAAAAAGAAGGAAAGATGGGAAGAGAGCAAGGAAGGAAAAAGAAGGGAAAGAGGGAAGGAAGAAGAAAGGAGAATGAAGAGGGAAGGAGGGAGAGAGGGAAGGAGGGAAGGAAGGAAGGAAGGAAGGAAAGACATTTCTGTCCAAGGGAAGAAAGGAGGGAGGGAAAGAAGGAAGGAGATTATAACAAGAGTGAGGGAGGGTCTGTGGGAAATACTGTCTTAGCACTTGGACACCACAGGTGCCCCTGACATGAGTCACATCGAGCAGGCCATGCCCCCCCCCCCAGGTCAAATACAATCTTGATGCAGCCCTCAATGAAATCTAGTTTGATACCCTTGAACTAATGGTTCTTGTTCTGGCCTCAGGGAGCGAACAGAGTGCCCCCCTATTCTCTGTGATAGCCCTTCAAGTTTTGAAGATGGCTATCATGTCACCTGCTCCTTCGTCTAAATATACCTAGTTTCCTTATTTGGTCATTGTTTAATTTCAGGAAATGTACATATACAGGAAAGGTTTTTTCCCCCCTTCCCTGCTTTTGCATTTTCAGAAAAACTGGAGGGAGTTAAATGGCCTTGATCCAGCTAAAATTAGTAATATTTAATTGAAAACAAGGGAACAAATTAATTGAAACTAATTTAATTAGCAGAAGCTGCATTTCTATACTCACTTAGGGAGAAACAACACAAAAGGACTTCTAGCAGGCAAGTATGTTTATTGCATCGTTCATCATGTTTAGATTGATTCATTTAATTTAATTAATTTTAAATTATTTTAACTGGAACCAGTTTCCTGGTTTTTTTAATATTTTTAATATTGAATGACAACAATCGACACCAGCCTGGAAAAAAAAGAATGAAATAAACTAATGACAGTAGCATGCTGTTGATTTTATCCTAATGAGAATATAAATGATTCATTCAAAAAAAAAGGATAGCAAATTTTTTATAAATGAATGTTACAAGAACCCTGATATCTTAATTCCAGTAAGAATTGCATAGGAACAAAGCAAAATAATAACAGAAGTACTTTTAAGGGCAATAGTGAATAGTTCTGTATTTGTATTAGATTAGATTTTTATTTTAATCCATGTTCAATCAGTGGAATTAAATTCTAAGAAGCTGCAGAATGTGGCACTGTGTTTAAATCATGTCAAATTATGTCATACAGTAAATTTCAGAAACAAGAGCTGAAACTCCGGTCTTACTGGTAAATGAAAAGTTAATAAATCACCAGGCCTAGATGATAGATTAAGAAAAAAAATGCAAAAATCTCTGTATCAGCCATTGGTTGTTCCTGATTGAATAGCAGTTCTCAAAACATGATTTATTCACATGCTCTTCCACTGTAGTAAAGAACCTTCAGATCTTGCAATTTTCAGATGAATTTATTGAACATCTTAATGGCACCTTTTCCTCAAAACTTCTTCATGAAAATACAGGAAGGTTTTTTTTTTTTGTTTTTTTTACAGAATGGAGAGTGAAGAAATAGACAGCAAGACTAAGTGGAGATTCTCTACCGATGGAAGAATCAATAAAGGTGAAAATTTGTAGCTCAGGGTTGACATGAGGGTCCTTGGTGCTCTCTGAACTTGCTTGTTTTCTTGTGGACATTTCATTACCCAACTAGATAACTTAATCAGTGCTACAAAGGAGGGAGGTTTGTGAGGAGGAGGAGGAGGAGGAGGAGAAGGAGGAGGAGGAGAAGGAGGAGGAAGAGGAGGAGGAGGAGGAGGAAGACTGTGGGTTCTTTGGTTCTCTTTGAGCTTGGTGCTTGCAGACAATTTAGTATCCAAACTAAGTAACATCATGAATGATGCATCAGTGACTGATGATGTTACCTAGTTTGGGTATGAAACATCTTCAGGAAAACTAACCAAACTCAGAGGCCACCAAAGACCCTGGCTAAAAGTGAGATTCTCAAAGCTTTTTGATGTACCAACCTCGTTATCAAGGACATCAAAGAGTTGTCATTAAGTGTGAGGGGCAAGACTGAGAGATTCATAGTTGCTACTGTGATGGAAATAGATCTTTCTAAATGGAAGGAATGGCCACGGCCACAGGAAACACAATTCAGTGCAAACAACTATCAAGGGACAAATGTTTGTACCCAATGTTTTTCCCTATCAAAATCAAACTTGATGCTGAGGACATTTCCCTAGTTTGACTGCTTAGAAAATAAATTCCTGTGGTTATGCGGCCCAGTTCAAGAAAAGTATCAACCTTTGAACAACAACAACAAAAAAAGACAAATTCCACATTAGGAATTATTGGGAGGGGGTGGGGGTGGAAAGAAGACGATAGATTGTACATGGAAACTTTCTGTCACCGCAAGACAGCTGTGAAAAAGGCAAATTCCATTTTTAGGCCCCATTAGCTAAGGCGTTGCAAATAAAATTGGCTGATGTAATAATGCCCAAAAGGAAAACTGTGTTCCCTGGTTGCGGCAAAAACAAATGTGCAATGGAGGCAATCCGTTAAGGCTGCTGAAAGAATTCGTGCGTTAATCTTTAAGGCACTGGAGACCTGGTGACTTTTTAATATAGTCATCACTGCACACCTCCTTCTGTTGCAAACACCTTTAGAATAGAACAATAGAGTTGGAAGGGACCTTGGAGGTCTTCTAGTCCAACCCCCTGCTTAGGCAGGAAACCCCACACCATTTCAGTCTTCTTCTTCTTCTTCTTCTTCTTCTTCTTCTTCTTCTTCTTCTTCTTCTTCTTCTTCTTC